TTTTTTAAGGTTTTGGACAGATAGTTTTTATTATTTATTTATTATGGAAGATTTGAACAACACAATAAACTTCAATCCAATTATCTATCTATCTATCATCTATCTATCTAGTAATCCCAGCAACAACAATGACAACAAATAAATGGGACCTGATTGAGTTAAAAAGTTTCTGCACGGCCAAGCAAATAGATAACCTACAGAACGGGAGAAGATTTTTGCATGCTACATATCTGATAAAGAACTGATAACCAGAATTTACACAGAACTTAAGCAAATTAACAAGAAAAGAACAACCTCTTAAAAAACTAGGCAGAAAGCTTGGCTCCTATAGCACAGTGGTTACAGAATCAGCGACATACATAAAGGGTGGCAGGTTTGAACCCAGCCTGGGCCAGCTAAACAATACTGACAACTGTAACAAAAAATAGACGGATTTTGTGGCAGGTGCCTGTAGTCCCAGATACTTGGGAGGCTGAGGCAAGAGAATTGCTAAGCCCAAGAGTTTGAGGTTGCTGTGAGCTGTGATGCCACGGCACTCTACCAAGGGTGACACAGTGAGACTCTGTCTCAAAAAAACAAACAAACAACAGAGAACTCAAGTATATTGGCAAGAAAAGAACAAATGATCCCATCTCAGGGTGGGCAAGGGACTTGAAGAGAAACTTCTCTGAAGAAGACAGGTGCACAGCCTACAGACATATGAAAAAATGCTCATCATCATTAATCATCAGAGAAATGCAAAGCAAAACTACTTTGAGATATCATCTAACTCCAGTAACAATAACCCACATCACAAAATCCCAAAACCAGAGATGCTGGCGTGGATGTGGAAAAAAGGGAACACTTCTACACTGCTGGTTGGAATGCAAACTAATGCATCCCTTTTGGAAAGACATCTGGAGAATACTTAGAGAACTAAAAATAAGACCTGCCATTTGATCCTACAATTCCTCTACTAGGTATATATCCAGAAGACCAAAAATCACATTACAACAAAGATATTTGTGCTAGAATGTTTATTGCAGCCCAATTCATAATTGCTATCATGGAAGAAGCCCAAGTGCCCACCAATCCACGAATGGATCAATAAATTGTGGTATATGTATACTATGGAATATTATGCAGCCTTAAAGAAAGATGGAGACTTTGCCTCCTTCATGTTTACATGGATGAAGCCGGAACATATTCTTCTTAGCAAAGTATCTCAAGAATGGAAGAAAAAGTATCCAATATACTCAGCCCTACTATGAAACTAATTTATAGTTTTCATGTGAAAGCTATAGCCCAATTATAGCCCAATAATATGGGGAAGGGGGAAAGGGAGGGGAGGGGAGAGACGGTGGGTAGAGGGAAGGTGATTGGTGGGACCACACCTATGGTCCATCTTACAAGGGTACATGTGAATCTTTCTAAATGTAGAATATAAATGTCTTAACACAATGACGAAGAAAATGCCATTAAGGCTATATTAACCAGTTTGGTGAAAATATTTCAAATTGTATGTAAAACCAGCACACTGTACCCCATGACTGCATTAATGTACACAGCTATGATTTAATAAAACAAACAAACCAACAAAAAACACTAGGCAAAAGACATGAACAGAAGCTTTTCTAAGAAAGACAAACTAATGACCAACAAAGACATGAAAAAATGTTCAACATCAAAAGTTCTTTGTGGGCAACGCTGGCTTGAGATGTCTCTTAGAGATCCAAGTGGAGATGTTAAATAAATAGAGAAATGAATGAGGAGCTCAGGGGGGATCCAGGTTGGGGATATAAATGAGCCTATACACTGGGTGAGATCATTGACGGCGTGACTGAGGAGAAAGAGGACCAAGGGCAGAATCCTGTTATGCTCCAACATTCCCAGTGTTTATGGCATTGCCTCCTCACTAAACATTTTCCATAGCTTTTGCAGTTAGGCAAGGCCATGTGAGTATCTATGAACAATGGATGGAGGAAGCATCTGAGAACTGGTTCAAGACCTTCAATTGCTATCATCTCCTGCCTTCGCAATCATGAATTTTTGTGTTAAAGTCAACTTGTCTATCAAGTCTGGTCCCTAAATGACTATCTGGCCTAAAGATCCTTTCTGAAACATGTTAGACATATAGCACAAAAGACAAATAAACATTAATGTGTTAAGGCACAGAAATTCCAGAATTCACTTGATGTCTCAGCATAAGTTGGCCTGTCCTAATTAATTGAGAATGCCATTGTGTAATAGGTCTCAAAAAAGTACCATTTTCTTTAAAAAATAAAAATAAAAAAGCATATGAGGTTGGACAATTAAGTTTACAAACTCATCCTAGAAAAAAGTGCTACACACCTCATTGCTAAATATTACTACAGTAACCTCCAAAGTACTCATCTTGGCTATCTGGTGACCCAGATTCTTAAAGATTATGAAGACATTGGTTTTTAAAATGTATTTCTTGAATAATTTAGAAAATCAATAGGCATGGATGTTTTGTAACTTTCTAAATTTCTCTTAGAACAATACTCCCATTCCGTATGTCAGCTTTTCCGTATGAGCTATTTGACAATCGATAAAAATAGATATTCCTCATTTATTCATTTAAAAGATGATGATTGAGCCTGTGTTATGTTCTGAACATTTTGTTAGGCGATGGGGAAGTAATGGAATAGAGCTAGTACTTACTCCTATGGTTTATAGGTTTTGATGCTACCTGCATATTTTACCTGGTATCAAATTTAGTTCTGAGATATTCAGAGATGAGAAATTAATTAATCTCTATGTGTTTTAATTCTTCATCTGTAAAAGGGAAATGGTAACCCCTACCTTTTAGAGTTATTGTATTAAATGAGACAAAGTGGCAGGTTAGTTTTATTCAGGCTTTCGAAATGCACTTAGACCACTCTAAGGATCTAAGTTTTTACTGTAAAAACTAACACTGAAAAGGTATGTGGTCTTGCAGCAGCTCAGGGGACCAGTGAACAGGTACTCTTTGCATTACTCATTTATGTCTCCTTGGTTTTTCGTTATCTTTGCTTGTTCTTACACTCTCCTCTGCAAATGCTTCGCAAACTTATTTATGATTTCTGTTCTTCATAACTTTAGTCTATATGCCCCCTTTAAATCCCAAACTCTATTTAGTGGTTTCTTTCTGCTTCTACCCTCACAGATAACTATGTAGTAAATTTCATCTCTCACTTGTAATTTCCAGGAGAATTTGTTGGACCAATTTATTTGGGCATTCAGAACATGTATTTGGACTTTTTACTATATACAGGCAATGTGCCCCCCATTGTAATGCAGGCCCCACTACCAGGGCCCTCTGACTTATCTCTCCACTCATCCTGAAAAATGCTTCTTGCTTACTTGAACCCAGGAAGCTGTCAGAGATGTTGAATTTGATCTCCACTCCAGACCTACTAACTTCAGATCCCCAAGTGATTTGTGTGAACATTTAAGTTTGATAAGCACTGCTTTAAACTTCCAGCTCTCAAAACTGTTGCCTGCATATTGAAAACAGCAGGGGATTTTAAAAATATGGGTACTGATGCCTGGGTATTTCCCCAACTTTAAGATTTAATATTTCTAGAGTGCAGCCTGGTATTCAAAAGATCCCTAGATGATTCCAATGTGCAGGTGGGTTTGGGGCCCTCTGAACTAGTTCTGTGTCACTATTGATCAGCTATGTGATCCTAGACAAATTGCTAAGTTTCTCTCTAGACCATATTTCTCATTTCTTAAGTAAAGATAATATAGCCTATCTTGTCTACCTCAGAATTGTCCTGAAGGACAAATGTGATAATACATGTGAATCTGTTTTGAAATGTGTGCTTATGAATCTAAGTATCTCATGTATCAGTTAACTTTTCTAAACCTATCTTCTCATATATAAGTGAGGATTCAAGGAAACAAATGCATTATCATTAAACATAAGAATTTAGGTAAAAATACATGGAAGGCAAGTCTTCCTAGCTAACGCCATTAAGTTTGATCTATGTGATTGCTAGGTACTGTTATCTCAGTTTACCTATCATATAACTGAGGATTGATTTAGAGAGGTTAAATAATTCTCTCAGGTCTCTGAAAGCTTTTAAATAGAAATTATTTACCTGACGCTTGTTAAAAACCTCAAGGAAGATTTTTATTCAAGACAAGACCATTGCAGTAGGGATCAAGACTACTGCAGTAGGGGAGAGGAAATGAATTTCATTCTAGAATAAAACTGGGACAAGTGGAGATTTATAGCTGGGGGCAGGATGGAAGGCTTGAGAGAGAATTATTAAAAGGAACTTAGTGAGGTATCTATGGTTGGAGGAAGAGAAACTTGACTTGTTATCAAGGCTGTCGGAGGAGAGCTTGACTGAGGGTCAAGGGTGAGGGGACGCTTGATGAACTAGCTTAACAATATTCTTTGGTAAAACGGGGCTCAGGATGAGGCCTAGTTTAGAAGGCAGCTCTAAAGAGCCTATCTAAAGTTTGGTCAAGGAACGAGTCTTTGTCAAAGCGGAGTTGGGACTAAAACCGGGTAGGTCTAAGTCTATAAATACAGATCTTGCCGCCTCTACTTCCCCAAGGTGAATGATTAATCGCTAAACGTCAAAGAAGACAGTTTGGCGCTGTGCACCTGTGAGGTATCCAGGCATCCATTGGCCAGCTATGAGACTATTGGCTGCACTCTAACTTCAAATCGGATCAACCGCAAATCAGAACACCAGCTTTCTTATCTACCCTAAGTCCGCAGGCTACAAACTCGTTCCGGCTAGAATCCTAGAACAGATTGAGGGGGCGGGGCCCGAACGCACCTGCGGTGCGCCAATCACAGGCCAGCGCGCTGGAGCGCATGCGCCCTAGTCCTGGGTGAGGCTTCATTGCCCCCAGTCTCCTCCGACCTGTCGGCCTTCCGCCGTCTTGATTGGCCTTCGGGAGGTGACGCACATGGCTTCTTCGACCTATGGCGACAAAGCCGGCCGGCAGCTTAGCGGAAGTAGTGTGGGGGAGGTGATTCCAAAGAGAAGCGGCGCTGCTGGGCGCCGGCGCAGGCTCCCGAGGCGGCCGCAGGAAGATGACTCGCTTCGCTCTAACCGTTGTCCGGCAGTGAGTATCACTGTCGCAGGTTGCCTCCTTTTATCTTCCCTCTCCTCCCCTCCTCTCTTCTTTTTTCTCTTCTCTCCTCTCGGTTGAGTATGTTTCGGAGTGAAAGGAACATTCATCTGTCATCACCTCCGGTCCCCGCCGGTTCGACTCTCGGAGGGTCGGCTTGGAAGAGGCTATTTTCAGGGCGCTTTCGTTGGGCTATCGCGTGTCGACCCCAACAGCCGCTAGTGAGGACGGCGGGTCTTAGATATCATCAGTACCGTGTTTCAGATAAAGAAAGTGAGTTCCAGAGGAGTAAATTGATCAAGGTTCCTAGCCTAGTGCAGAGCACAAACTGAAGAAAAACAACCATGTCTCCAGAGCTCTCCGTGCACTATTTTTGCTCCCCAGCAGATGCTCAGAGTTTACAGAATTGCTGGTCCATAGCTGAAGTTCCGCTCTCCCCTCTCTCCGTCTTTGCTGTTCCCCCTTGTTTCCTCAGGCAGTCAGTCTCACTGGTGTCTGTTTAAGGTTTATTTCTTCTCCCGCGAGGTTACAGTTCCAGGAGAGGAAAAAAGGAAGGGCTTCAGCCTGGGCTCACCAGACCGCATCCCACCGAACAAATGTTTTATTATCATAACTGATTACGTAGAGCTGAATGCTGATATGACTTTATGTCTTTTATCTTTCTCCTCCTCAACACATACTTGCCAAGTGTTGAGGAGAAATTCAGAGTGGGAAGAGTAGAGATTTTTCAATTAGTATAGAGCTGGCTTGGATTCCGGACTACAGCTAGGAGCTAGATAGCCTGGGTTTTCAATTAAGTAACCGACTTTTTGACCTGTTTCCTGATATACAAAATGAAGGTAATGATAATGCCTATCTCACTGGATTATTGTGAGCATTAAAAGGAGGAAAAGTAAGGTGCATGGTACAACAGAGGGGACAAATATCCCTGAAGATAAAATAATTTGTATGGGTATTTTTTGTAAGGGCAGCTTTAGTAAGAACTCAGTTGTTTCCCAAATATGATGTATAGTTTATCAGACCAGCATTTTCAGTAGCTACTATGTGCCAGTGTTTTGGATCATACAGGTAAATGTGGATCATACGGATAAATATGATACCAATTCTGCTTTCATGGAATTTACAATGGGCACTAATATGATTTACCCTTGTCAAGGTGACTTTTAACTGCTATCTTTTCTGTCCTCTGCTTCTTTTATAGGAAGATAATCTTGGGAATCATCTGAAATTCTGCTTTTAGGATTCACAGGATTTTTAACAAGTAAATTAGAAATCTAGTTGCATCCTCTTTTCTCTCAACCTCTCTCCGTTTTTTAGAATGCTTTGGGAGAATTCTTGACTGACTGAAGGTATACAGCTAATTGGTAGCAGAACAGGAACTAGAGTCCTGAGAGTTCTTTCTTCTAGCCTTAGAGCACTTCCTGGATGTCCATCCCAGCCAGCACGGTGTCAGACATTTAACTGAAACTCAGAAGTTGGAGGAAATGTGGGTTAAGGCATCCCTTGAAAAGTAAAATGATTCCTATTTAGATTTGTAATAGACAACAGTAATAAAAACATGTATTTTATTCTTTTCCTGCAGTTTAACAAGGCTTGATTGTGGAGGCCCTCATAGGTATCATTTAAGAAAATAAGTCCTAGTAAGTGTGACTATATGCCAGGCACTGTTGTGAGATAAGGACTGATATCCTCAGTTTGCAGGTAAGGCAGTTGAGATAGAGTGGTCATGTAACTTGCTAAAAGTCACATGGCAAGTTGAGGAGGTAGGATTTGAACCAACACAACTTAACCTCTCACACTGCTTTTTGCCTTCTTTTTAATGTGTCAAACCTAATATTTGTAACTTATTTGAATATCACCAGCCATTTCTGAGGCTTCTCTATTTATTTTTTTGAGGCAGAATCTTGCTCTATTGCCTAGGCTAGAGTGCAGTGACCAGATCATAGCTCACTGCAACCTCAAACTCCTGCATTCACATAGTTCTTCTGCCTCTGCCTCACAAGTAGGTGGGCTTGTAGGTGCATACCACCGTGCACAGATAATTTTTTTATTTTTATTTTTTTGTGGAGACTGAGTCTCCCTTCTGTTGCCCAGGCTGGTCTCAAACTCTTGGGCTCAAGCAGTTCAACTACCTTTGCCTCCCAAAGTGCTGGGATTATAGGCATGAGCTCAAGGCTGCTTTTTATTCTCTTAATATAATTGTGGGAAGTGATAAGAATAGTTTGTTTTGTTCTGTTTTAGAATGTAGGAAAATGGAGTGAGAGTGTTGAAATAACCAGTAGGGCTGTGGTTTGCTGCTTTCCTGTCTGAACCATCCTTCTTCTTGCCTTTAGAGCTATCAAAACTAAAAAATGGTGATTCTTTTAGGAAAGAAAATCATTTCAAATAGAATCACCACAATTAAATTTAATGACTTCAAAGAATTGGATAATTTTACCTGTTCAGATAATGGGAGAAAACTTTAAAGCAGTTTCTATAAGTCCAGCAAAATCTTTTGAGCCCTGTGCTGTTACTGTGTGTTTATCTTTCTTCATCATACTTTTAATTGAAACTGCCAGTGTGTGTTATTTTTGGAATAGAATGCCCAAGATTTCAAAACGCAAGTGTATCATCATTATTATCTTATGGCACAGCGTTGTTGAAAACTCTAGCATAGGTAGGTTGGCATTATCTTCACCTACATACAAAACACTATCAATGGCCCTGGTTCCTTGAAATGTTATTTGTAGGTGTTGCAGTTTGTCACCTGCAAAACTATCCATTTCACTTTCATTTTAACCAGCTCTCAAAACTTTAAATTGTTTTATGTTTTTTGTTATCCTTTTTAGAGTGCCGTGGTGTCACAGCACATAGCAACCTCAAACTCTGGGGCTTAAGTGATTCTCTTGCCTCAACCTCTCAGGTAGCTGAGACTTAAGGTGCCCGCCACATTGCCTGACTATTTTTTTGTTGTAGTTGTCATCGTTGTTTAGCAGGCCCAGGCTGGGTTCAAACCCACTGGCCCCAGTATATGTGGCTCGTACCCTAACCACTGAGTTATGGGTGCCGAGCCAAAATATTTTTTTGTAAACTAAATCTAATTTACATTTAATGACTTAAAGGTGAGGAATTAGTAAAATTACTTATGGCAAAACTGATTTGTTTTTCTTACTGTACCTCTTACTTGCTTTTGTAATGCTAATCATTTTTCTGGATACTAATGAAGCAAGCAAAATAATATTAGAACATCTGTAATTTAATCCTTTTATGGAGATATATGGAAGTGTTAAGTTAGTGTGATACTTGTTTCCTGGGTATGAGGTTGATCAATTGGGGAGAGCCTATGCAACTAGGACTAATCTGTATTTAAACACAGATATATCATGAATTGAGTATCTTACAAGTTTTTTCCCTCCCAAACCATCTAGTGAAAGTCTTTCATGTACACTAAAGAATATCTGCTTTGAAAACTAGCCTCAAGTGTATACTAATTTCCCGTGATTTGTCTACCTTTTGTGGCAAGCTGACTATTATCTGCTAAATTTGAATTTCTTAAAAGGACCTAATAGGCAAATTAAGCTTTCTGCGTGATTTTTAAAGGAATGCTCCAAAATACGAATCCAGACTAACAAAAAATAAAATACATCTTTTAAGTGAAGAACAGTGCGGTAACCTACAAAATGAATGATGCATTTTTGTAGGGCTTATAAATGGCTGGTCATAAGACAACTTGGCATAAGCATTTGGATTCCTGCAGAGTCGGGCTTTCTGTTTTGGAAGTGGATCACACTGCAGATTTTGAAAATGAGTGGTGTTATTCTTGACTCTTTTAAAATATATCCTTCTGACCTTTCAGCTCCCTCCACCTTTTCGGCTGATATCAGAAGTCAAACTTGGTTAAGGGAAGTAGATTAATAGTAAAACTATTTTAGCCAGCTACTTTCCTTTCTCACGTCCAAAACAAATCAAATACTTTCAAGGATTTATATAAACCTCTCCATAAAGCTGATAAAAGCTGTGATATTAAATATTTATTAAAGATTTCGGGAAAAAATTCTATTTTTGGATTCCTACTCTATAATATTTATAAAGTGATTCGAAGGCAGATATGCCTGTTAGAACCACGAGTGAATGCCAGTCATTGTTAATAATATTATCATGTCTGCAGTAGTCTCTATCAGCTTATAGTAAAATGGAATCCTGCATCACATCACAGCTATTTTTCTCCGTTCACTGAAAATTGTTAGATGGTGGGACATACCTTTATAAAGCTATCGGATTACTGGGATTCCATTTTTGATAAAAATAATCTTTTGACAGTCTAATGTTTTTTGAACTCTAAATTTGTGATCAAATCAGCTATTGGGATTAAATTCAAATCCTGAATTAATCTTTTCAGCACATGTACAAAAAGCAATCATCTCTGCTGAATTTGTGTGATTTGTAAAGACCTGAACTTTTTGGTGTCTATTACATGACTTTTTTGGGTAGCAAAACTGTTAATTCTCATCACCCCTGTCTACACCCCACCCCACCCCCTTTTTTTTAAAAAAAGAGACAAGTTTTGCTTTGTTACTCAGGCTAGAGTGCAGTGGCAGTTATAGCTGGCTACATTTATAGCTTTCTACTCCAGTGCTCAAGTGATCTTCTTGTCTCGGCCTCCCAAGTGGCTGGGACTACAGGTGCCTGACACCACACCCAGTTAATTTTTCTATTTTTTTGTAGAGATGAGGTATTGGTATATTGCTCAGGATGATGTGGAACTGCTGGCCTCAAGCAGTCACCCAAAGGGATTAATAGGTGTGAGCCACCTTGCCCTGCTGATTTTAAATATATAAATGAGGGCACTTCTTTGGCTTCTGCTGGAAATTGAATTGGCTGTATTAAAAGAAAAACTTTAGACAAATTAAACTTAGCAGAGTTTGAGTAAAGACATAAAATCCATGAGTTGGGCAGCACAAGCGGGCTCACCTGGCAAAGTGGGCAGGCAGTATTTATAGACAGAAAAAGGAAGTGAATGCAGAAATAGCCTGAGTGGGTACAGCTCTGTGCTTGCCTTATTTGGACATGTTTGAGCACTTTGCAGCCCATAATTGGCTGAAAGGTGAGCTGCTATGATTGGCTGAGGCTTGTTTTCTTATTATAAGAATATATTCTCAAATTAGGTTGTGGTTTATTTGCATATTAAGTTAGGGTTCACCTTGCTACACATGGAGGCAGCTTTATACAGATTTAACTGCTACAAAGCCACTGTCACAAGAAGATGTTACTTATGTATTTAAACAGCAGTTCTTTTATTCTTGGTCTCAGCAAGATTGTGAGGCTGAGACAAGATGCGAATCTAACACATGAAAACTTTTCTAGATTAGAAATGACAGGTTCCCCGTTAGGCTGCTGCTTTATCAGTCTGAATGGTAGAGTGTAATGTTCTCTTTTGTATCCATTTTGTAAGATTCTAAGTGAATTTTGGAGTGTAGAAAATCTTTTTTTTTTTTTTGGCCGGGGCTGGGTTTGAACCCGCCACCTCCAGCATGTGGGGCCGGTGCCTTACTCCTTTGAGCCACAGGCACCACCCTAAGAAAATCTTTTATTAATATTAACAACAGTGATAATAATGGCAAATCAGTGGTCGTGTTTTTTACCAAGGCATAAATACTTCTGTAAATTCTATTACACATTTATTTATTTTTATTTTTATTTTTTTGAGACAGTGTCTCACTATGTTGCCCTTGGTAGAGTGCTGTGGTGTCACAGCTCACAGCAACCTCAAACTCTTGGGCTTTAGTGATTCTCTTGCCTCAGCCTCCCTTGTAGCTGGGACTACAGGTGCCCGTCACAACGCCCGGCTATTTTTTGTTTGTATTTTTATTTGTCATCATTGTTGTTTGGCAGGCCCAGGCAGGTTTGAACCCGCCAGCCTTGGCATATGTGGCTGGAGCCCTAGCTGCTGAGCTATAGGTGCTGAGCCTACGCATTTATTTTTTAAGCTAACATAGCCACATATTAGAAATAAAAATCCTCCCCAGTCTCCCTGTTCCTTTTACTCTACTCCAGAGGTGGCCGTGTTTTATGTCTATCATTCCAGGGTTCCTTTGTGCAGATCCAAATGTTTATTATTTTCCTCTTTAATACAAAAGTAGCATTCTTCTTATATTTTTTGCACCTTGCTTTTTTCTACTTGATCATATTTCTTGGTGATCTTTCCTTATCTTCACATACAGCCTCTTTTTCTTTTAAAGAACACATTTATATATTACTCTATTAGGAAGCTATACCATTGTTTATTTGTTAATGTGATCATTAACAAATGATTCTTTTGGCCGTAGTTAAGGAAATTGTCTCTTAGTGGACATTTGGTTGTTTATCGTCTGTTGCTATTAGAAATATTACTGTAGCAAATATTTTAAATATAAGTGAATATAGGTATTCCCAGTAATGGGTTTATTGGATAAAAGGGTAAACACATTTGTTATTTTGATAGTTATTTTCAGATGGGCCTCTGTAGCTAAAGTACACTCACAAAAGTTCTCTTATTTCCAGGATTTTCTCCAGGTACTGAGCATGGTAAGGTAGATAGAGTCTCTTGCTGTTCCTTTAAGGAACTGGAGCCAGGGTAGACATAAAACTAAAAAGTCAGTTATAATAGCACGTGGACAATAACTTTTGTCGGTAGTGCCAGGGTAAAATGGAGCACAGAGTTGGGGCACTTGACCGAAGTAGGTAGATGGGGAACAGCACAGGGAGAGAAGACTACCTAAAACAGCCAGACTTTGGATCTTAAAGAATGGGAATATGTTAACCAGGCCCAGAAATCTGTTTTAATAAGTATACCAGGTGATTCCGATGTACACTTTAGTTTGAAAACCATCAGTCTAGGCAGTGGTTGGCCAACAATTGTTTTTATAAACAAGAAGGAAGGTTCTAGGCAAAGACTTAAGTTTGTGAAATTTGTGATTCTGACTTCAAGGTTTGTGATGGAGTTTCTTTCTTGATCTGAGTCAATCCCATGTGAGATTATTATTATTATTTTAAACTAATGCTTCACTTAAAAACAAAGAAGCCATCATACTCCATTGTAACCACAGAAACACAAGTTAAAATCAAAGTGAGATGAATTGTTCAGGTACTATGGGCACAGATTGAAAACTTACATTACTGAGGCTTGGTGCAGATGGCTCCCCACACTGAGAGGTGCTGGGACAGATTGGTGTAACCGCTTTGGCATTACCTAAGTAACGCTGAGTATCTGCATGCTCATGGCCTGGCAGTTCTAGTGCCTGGTGGATATCCCTAGGTTTGGTTCAGTCAGCTTTTAATTGGAGCACAAAAAATTTCAACTGGGTTCTCCTTGCTTCTCCTTTCCATGTATTTGATGATTGAATTTTTGTGAGTCTACTCTGTTGTCCAGTCTGCCTGGGTACTTCCTTCCCCCTCCAGCCTCAGTCGCCCCCAGTGTTTCGTGAAAAAGGTTTGCAGTCTTTTCACCCTTCTGTTGGCATCAGATTGTTTTGGGTTGTTTTGTTAATTTTTGAAAGTGTAGTACCCAAACTTCAGTTCATCATGCAATTGGTCTGCAGGATAGTTGTTAGTACTATAAAACAGCAGCTTGAGAAGACCTAGGAACCAGGAGAAGGGGGCAGGGGATTCTGAGGTCTGTGCTCCTCCTTCCTGGTTCATCTGATTCCCTTCCACTTGCTCATTTAGCGCAGCCTGAATGGACTGACATTCGTGCTTTGGTTCTGCTGCCTGTGAAGGTAGTTTTCATCAATATATTTAACAAGGTTATTTGACTAAAATAGGATATGCACAGTATTTCGATTTTTAGTAGGATTTTCCACCTGCAGTTCACTTGGGAGTGATTTCTGATCTAGACATTTTAATTTGGGGCAGTTTGAAACGCGTAGCTCCTCATTAGAGGAGACAATTGCCAAAATTAGTTGAGGATAAATTGTATTTTATAGGTTAGATTATGAAGTATGTTACTTGATTTATATGATATCTTTATGAATCTCATTACCCTTCATTGTTGATATTTTTTCTGCTCTCAAAATATCAATTTGGTAATAAGGTTTTTCCTCCTCTTTCCATTTTAGTGGAGAAACAAGACTTAACAAGGTGAAAATACTTCAAGGTTGGTATAATCTGAATGTTATTTTAGCTCTCTCCCTAGTGTGATGCAAGAGTTAATTGGATTTGAGAGAGGGCTGGGAGCAGCACTCTGTTGTGGATTGGGATTGTAGACTTAACCCAACATAACCATAGAAATATGTGGTCTACGAAAGTTTTGAGACAGACTGTGTTACGGTCTGTCGTTTCACTTCTGAGAAACACAGTCAACAGTGCTCTTTCTGATTCACCTGTGCAAGTTTCTTTTTCTTTTTTTTGAAACAGCATCTCACTATGTCGCCCTCAATAGAGTACCGTGGCGTCACAGCTCAGAACAACCTCCAACTCTTGGGCTTAAGTGATTCCCTTGCCTCAGCCAAGTAGCTGGGACTACAGGTGCCCACCACAACACGTGACTATTTTTTTGTTTCAGTTGTCATTGTTGTTTCAATGACCTGGGCTGGGTTTGAACCCGCCAGCCTTGGTGTATTTCGCTGGTGTCATAACCTCTGTGCTATGGCTGCCAAGCCTCAGCTGTGCAAGTTTCAGCTTGCTTGGTTTATCACTGTGGCTGGGAGGGCTTCATTTGTTTCCATCCACAGGGATTTTATGTTTCTTGATTTTTGTGCATCTCAAAATTTTCATAACGTCTCATGTATGATCAGAGCAGTTGGCAACCAAGAGAAACAAACCTTGTGTAAGTGAACTGGATGTAAATAACATTTCTCCAGATTATCCCTTATGTATGGCTTCAAAGTGGCCTGGTCAGCTGATTAAAGAACTATATTGGGTCTCAGTGTCTTAAAATATAACTGTCTGAATTTAAAATGATTTCATATTTGGATACATGAAGTATACTGGCTGCTAAGATAGTTCTTTTAATTTTAGTAGTAATAAAGAAGAGGTTTAAAAAGAGAACTCCTATTTTCACATGAGGTTATTTTTTCTGAAGAGATTCTTCTCCCTTGTTCTGTTAACTTGGACTCAAATCTTTTAATTGCCCTGTGATCCAGCCAGTCTAGCTTTTTAAGAATATCTTGGGTGAACTTTTGGCTAGACACACTATTTATGTGCTGTGATTGTAAAAGCATTTAGTTTTGCTTTTTTTGGTTAGGGACTTCTGAGATTTACTGATTTTCACGCCTGGTGTGCCTGACTTGTTTTTCTGGAGACTAACTGGTCTGATGCTTAAGTGAACCTTTTATTTTAGGCATGTGTGCCATCTAAGTCACCCTTTGCACTGAAGGCCCTTACCACCTGTCCTTTGCTATTGCTCATTTGTCTTATTTTATAAGAAGCTGGAACACAAAAGTCTTTGTGTTTACACTCATTTTTAGGTTTGTGTTGTGTTTTCTTCCTGACCTTGTAAGTAGATGCTTAGTTCTTGAAGTTATTTTGTTTTTTAAGCTTTTAAGCCTTATGTATTTCTTTTTTTTTTTTTTTTAGCCTTATGTATTTCTAAATACCATTTTTATTGCATACCCACAATTCTTATATGTGGTGATTTCATAAGCATTCAGTACCAAGTATTTTAATTGACTTCTAACTTAATTACTTGGTATTGTTACACTATGGTTTATTTGATAATACGTCTTTGAAATTTCTGAACATGGTCAGTTTTTATAATTTTTCCACTATATGTTTAAGAAAAATATGTTTTCTGTAATTGTTGGGATTGGAGCTATGTACCAAATAACCATCCTGAATTTGTTTTTAAATCTTATATACTGGGCTAATTTTTTAAATTTACTAATTTGCATGTTTAACCTAATTTAATTTTTGAGTGGGACAGCTTGAATTTCTTACTGTAGTACTTTGTTTATCCTTTAATACTTGAAATTCTACAAATGTTTTATGTACAGATTTTGCTTTTATATGGGTTGAAGCTATTTTATAGGCATATACAAGTTCAAAATTGTTACCTCTTCCAAGTGAATGTTATTGTGCCTTTTCTTCATACCACAGGACAAGGAGTAGATGAACCTCTGTCAGAAACTGGATTTAAACAAGCAGCTGCTACTGGTGTATTTCTGAGAAACGTAAAATTTACTCATGCTTTCTCCAGTGACCTCACGAGAACAAAGCAGGTAAGTTTAGAGTCAGGGTCAAGGCTCATGGGTCAAAAGTCTCAACGACTGTGCAATCTTGAAAAATCTACCAGTGTCTGTGGGGAATTAAATCACAAACAAACATCACCCCTAAACCCCATTATCCTCTAACTGAACTTTTTTTCTTTTCATTTTGCATTGTTTTTTGTTTGTTTGTTTTTTATTTCAGATTTATATGAAGATACAAACGATTCAGTTACATTGTTTGCATTTGATAGGTAAAGTCCAAGTTGTAGTTGAGCCTGTCACCTAGCAGTTGTGCCATATACCCTTACATTGTGCCCATTAGGTGAGAGCACACCAAACCCCCTTCCTCCTTCCCTCTCCCACCTCCCTTCTCCCTTCGCCCCTTGAGTTTAATTCATAATTTTTCTCTTGTATGTGCAGTTTTCACCTACTAGTTTCATATTAGTATTGGATACACTGAATATTTGCTTTTTGATTCTTGTGATACTTTACTAAGGAGAATGTTCTTCAGCTCAATCCAGGTAAATGCAAAAGATATAGTCTCCATCTTTTTTATGGCTGAATGGTATTCCTTGGTATACATATACCACAGTTTGTTAATCCATTCATAGATTGATACGCCCTTGGGTTGGTTCCACATCTTGGTGAATTGAGCTCTAATAAACATTCTAGTGCAAATGTTCTATGGTACAGTGATTTTTTTTACTTCTGGGTAGATACTTAGCAATGGGATTATAGGATCAAATGGAAGGTCTACTTTTAGCTCTTTGAGGATTTGCTATGCTTCTTTTCATAGAGGCTATGTAAATTTGCAGTCCTACCAGTGGTATAAAAGTGTTCCCTTCTCTTCATACCCTTGCCAGCATCTACAGCCCTGGGATTTGGTGATGTGGGCTATTCTCACTGGGGTTAGGTGGTGTCTCAAGGTGGTTTTGATTTGTATTTCTCTAATGATTAGGGACAATGAGCATTTTTTCCTGTATATGAAAATAGGAAAATAGAGATATGCCTATAAATAGGAAAATAGACATATGCCTGTCTTCTCCGGAGAAGGATCTTTTTATGTCTCTTCCCACTGGTGAATGTTCTTTTCTTATTGATTAGTTTGAGTTCTCTGTAGATTCGAGTTATCAGCCCTTTGTCAGATTTGTAACATGTAAACATCTTCTCCCATTCTGAAGTCTGTCAGTTTGCTTTAGCTGTTGTGCCCTTAGCTGTGCAAAAGCTTTTTATCTTGATCATGTCCCACTTATTTATTTTTGGTGTCACTTCATTTGCCACTGGGTTCTTCTTTGTTAAATCTTTTACTAGGCCAATTGTCAAGTATTTTTCCCACACTTTCTTCTAGGGTTTTCATTGTTTCGTGTCTTATATTTGAATCTTTTATCCAGCATGAGTCAATTTTTGTAAGTGATGAGAGGTGCGGGTCCAGTTTCAGTCTTTTACATGTGACTACCTAGTTCCTCCAGTACCATGTATTAAATAGGGATTCTTTTTCCCAGTGTATGCTTTTATTTGGTTTATCAAAGATCAGATGGTGATACGTGTTCATCTCTAGGTTCTCTATTCTATTCCATAGATTTATGTCTCTGTTTTTTGGTAGTAAGGTGATGTTTTGATCCCTATAGCCTTATAGCATATCCTGAAGTCTGGTAATATGGTACCTCCAGATTTGTTTTTGTTTGTAATTTTTAAATTAGAGTAGCTCACACACACACAAAAAATCTAACAAGAATACAAATAAGGTATCATGAGAGTGAGCCAGCAGAAACAACAGACAGGAGAAATTAAACCACAAAGACATTAGGAATTAGAATTACCAGATACAGTAAAACAAACAAACAGATAAACCAAAAATTCCCACTATGTTACTATAAAGGAAGAGAAGACTTGTTAGAAATATCTTTAGGGAACAGATTACTATAGAAATGACCCCATAGATTTAGAAAAGAACCAAATCAACTTCTGAAAACTCAATAGAAAGAGAGAGAATAAAAGGGCTGGCATTTTACCTCTTCCCATAAACCACTAGAAAACGTGACATAATGTGGTCTGAAAGAACTGTTTTCAGACCTTGGATGTGAACTGAGCACTGTGAACCTGAGATACTCGAATGAAATGGAACAGAGGAATATAGTTTTTGAGACTCAGGTAGGGGAAGCCAGAAAGAGCTCAGTGGTCTCAGTGTGGTGAGGAGACAAAGTTTGGAATTTTAGGAGGTTAACTTAAATATATAACTAAGGTTCGTAAGCGTGATGGACAGAGAAAGAACTCTAGAAGAACTCCTTTACATCTTTGGTGGACTATTAATCTGTACATGTATAAAAAGTGAAACTGTGAGAGGCCAGGTAAAACACCAATTCAGGGTAGAGAATACTTGCTGGAGAGAGGTAAGCGGATTCCTCACACAGGGAAGGGAATCCTTTGATTTCTCGCCAGCCAAAGTGGAGAGATTTTGTTGAATACATACAACATATAGTAGAGATTTCAGAAGGGTCACACCTTAAAGGAAAGGCTAAACTAATCTTAGAGGAAAATGATGAGAGAAATGAAAGATTAAAAAACATTTTTTCCCTTAAAAAGAACCAAATTGATTTAGAGATGAAAAATACAATATTCTAAAATGGAAATTTTGTAAGATAGGCGTTGATGAGGCACTTAGAAGAAGAGGTCAGTGAATGTGAAGACACAGCAATAGAAATTCTAAAATTAGCTATGAAAAAAACCCAGAAGTCTAAAACGGGAAAAAGAAAGAGTCTGAGTGAAATGTGGGACAATATCAAGCAACCTAGTGATGGTAGTTGGCTTCCCAAACACAAAAAGGAGAAGTGGCAGTGGGGTGAACATGAAGAGTTAGAAAATGTTCTTGAAGAGATAATGACTAAGAATTTTCCAAATCTAGACCCAGCGAAAATATGTTTAAAAAATTAGGGTGAAGTAAAGAATTTATTTTTATTTTTATGCAAAAGTTGAGGGAACAGAAATAGACCCACAGTTATATAGTCAGTTGTTATTTTATTTATTTATTTATTTGTCAATTAAATTTTGAAGAAGGTACCAAAGTAACTCAGTGGAGCAAAGATAGTCTTATAAATAGCAATGATGAAACATGGGATAGCTATATGAAACATGACCTTTGACCCTTATTTCACACTACAGAAAAACTAACTTGAAATGGATTATAAAACAAATCTAAAAGCTATATGTATATGTATATATATAATACATACATAATTCTTTGGAAAAACACAGGAGAAAGGTCTTATGACCTTGGGTTAGCCAAAGATTTCTTAGAACAAAACATGAACTATAAAAGAAAAGTTTGATAAATTGGATTTTATCCAAATCAAAATTTTCTGGTCTTTGAAGGATTAAGAAATTGAAAAAGCAAGCCACAGATTGGAAGAACATTATAAATAAGTGTATTATATCTATAACTTATGTCATCAATGAGTATGTATATATATTCGACAAAGTGTTTATGTGCATAAGTTTTTTAACTCAGTGATTAAACAAATAGCCCACTTTAAAGTGAGCAGAAGATTTGAATTTGACCAGATACCTGACAAAAGAAGACTTACGGAAGGCTGGTAAAAAGGTGAAAAGTGCTCAAACAGCCTTGAACATCACAGAAATGCAAATTAAAACTGCAGTGAAATATTCCCATACTGCTGAACACACATTTGAATGGCTAAAATTAAAAATATAAAAGGATGTGCTGATTAGAATATAAAGAACCAGCTACTTTGGGAAATAGATTGATAGTTAAGCATATATTTACAAGGTCATCCAGCAATTTCAGTTGCAGAAATTCATCCAAGACAAATAAGAATATATGTCCACACAAAGACTTGTACACAGTTGTTTGATAGCAGCTTTATTTTTATAATAGCCAAAACAACCTATGAGTTCATCAGCAGGTGAGTGGATAAGTGAGCCGTGGCATAATCACACAACAGAATACAACTCAGCAGTGCAGACTGAATCACTGATGTGTCAGCTGAGATGAGACTCAGAAACATTATGCTAAGCAGGAGAAGCCAGACACCAAAGAGCCCATACTGCATGATTCCTTTTATATGAAACTCTAGAAAAGACTACCCTGTGGTTAGTTACACAAAGTAGATTGGTGGTTGCTTGGGACGAGGAGGGGGAGAGGTTTACTGGCATGGGCATAAAGGAATCTTTTGGAGTAATGGAATTCTGTATTTTGATTTCGGTGGTACTCAGATAGGCATATACATTTGTCAAATTTCAGTGAATTGTGTACTTAGGAGTATTTTGTCATTGTAAATTGTATCGTAATGAAATTGATTTAAAATATGGAAAAAGTTACAAAGCATAAAACCAAAAGCCTCAATGAATGTACAAAATTATAGATTACACACAGTTGAAGTGACCATTAACTTACAAGTTAATAACCTAAATGTAGCACAGTGTGAGAGATTTGAAATATGAGAGTTTAAAAGACATGAGGAGCATGATGAAAAGTTCTGATGTCTTCCTGAAGGAGATAGCAGAGAGAATAGGGAAGAGGCACCACTCAAAGAGGTCACAGTTGATTCTCTTAGAGAATCGTTGAAAGACAAATCTTCAGATCCCCAAAGTGTAACAATCCCAATTAGCATGCATAAAAAGAAATCCTCATTTGCATTTATCATAGCAAAATGGCAAGAATCTAAAGAATAAGGAGGACATACTTCATCTACTAAAGACCAATAGTTAGGCTGTCAACAAATTTGTCACTATCAATAATAATTTATTTAATGTGCTGAGAAATACTGAGGATTGGCCTAGAGTTTTATACCCAGCAAAACCTTTACTAGAGTGTAGGGGAAATGAAGATGTTTTAGACAATAGGTTATTAAACTAACTTGATAATTGAAAAAAAAATTCAAGAAGGAAAGTCTGTTTCAGAAAAGAATAGTGAGCAAAAACATTGGTAAAGTTATGGGTAAATATGAAGAAATATTGACAACGTATATAAAACAATGATTATAATTTGTGAGGAGGGGAGTAAAAATAGGCAGAATGTGAACTTAAAGTATTTCTGTAATTTTGCAAAAATAGCATCTCTTGTCAAGCAAAAACAGCCAGACATAACTTGAGAGACGGAAACATGATCAAAAATGAGCATAAAGACAAGACAATAAAAACAGCCACAGGAGTTATCTGATAGCTAGTGTTATCAGACATAGACTTAAAATCACCATTTTATACTGAGTGGAAGATGACATTGAGAATTTTAGCAGAGAACTGTAAATAATAAATTATAAACAAGAACCAAATGCAAATTCTAGAATTAAAAATATAATTGAAATTAAGGCTTAGTGGATGGTCTTAACAGCGATTTAGATGCATCTGAATGGAGATTTAAGGAGCTAGAACAGAGGTTAGTATACATTTTTTGTAAAGAGCCAAATAATAAGTATTTAGGTTTTATGGTGTATATGGTCTGTGTCACAACCTTCCAGCTCTGCTGTGGGAAAGCAGCCATAGGCAGTACATTTGTAAATGGTGTGGCTGTGTTCTAATAAAATACTTTATTGACAAAAGCCAATAAAGGTCTGGATTTGGCCTATGGGCTGTAGTTCGCTGACCTCTGAAATAGAAGATAGAAGAAAATATCAAAATCAGGCATGAAGAGACAAAAGGATAAGACGTATAGAAAAGAGGCAGTTTTTACAAAGGAAAATTATTGCTAGTTCTTTTTTATTCAATGGGTTTCAGTGTGAAGGGTGATTGTTTTTATAAGAAAAGAAACAGTTGTCTTTTTTGATTTTCAGACCATGTATGGCATTTTGGAGAAAAGCAAATTTTGTAAAGATCTGACAGTGAAGTATGATTTGAGACTTCGAGAAAGGGTAAGTAACTTATTTACATACTATTCTTTACCATAAATTATCGGCAAGCCACCCAAGCTGATCACATGACTAGACATTAAATCCATTCCTGCTAAGGATTTGGACTCAGCAAACGTATATTAAGAATGTGACAGTCACTGTTACATACTTTATCTGTAGCATCGTATTTAATTATTAAAATTGTGAGATAAGCATCTTAAATTATAAAAGAAAATATGGAAGAGTTTAAATAAAAGTGAAAATTATGGATATTGCATAATTTATGTAAACCAGCTACTACTAATGGACATCTAAGTTGTAACTAGATTTCCCACTGATGTAAATACTGTTAAAATAAACATCTTGCATTTAATTCTTTTTAGACCTATTGAATACATTTCTAGAAATGGACACTGTGGAGTATGCACATTTTTTAAGACTTTATCCACATTAGTAAATTGCCTTCTAGAAAAGCCATCTCAATTTATAATCTCATAAATAATCTAGGAGAAAATTTTGTTTTTTCACACCAACCCTTGATTTTATTAATGTCTCTTTGATCTTTCAATTTTTAATAACTTAAGAACGGTGCCGTATTTTTATTTATCGATTTCTGACAAAGTTGATTGCTCATGTTTCTGGGCCATTTGTATTTCTTTTGTGATGTATGTGTCCCTTGCTTGAGCTCAATCTTAATGACTCTAGAAAACTGAGAGCTTTGAAGTCACAAGATCTGGGTTTGAATTTGAACTTTGCTAATTACTGAACTAGCCAAATTATTGGCTGTGAGAATGGGCCAGGTGCGAGGGCTTACACCTATAATCCTAGCACTTGGGGAAGGCCTAAGTAGAAGAATCACTTGAGGCCAGGAGTTTGGGACCAGCCTAAGCAACATTTTGAGACCCCATCTCTACAAAAAATAGAAAAATTAGCTGGGTATGGTGGTGTGCATCTGTAGTCCCAGCTACATGGGATTGAGGCCAGGACTGAGGCAAGAGGATTAATCACTTTCACTTGAGCCCAAGAGTTTGAGGTTTCAGTGAGCTATGGTGGTTTTTGAGGTTCATGGCCCTCTACTGAGTACATTTCCATTATCAGTTCAGTGGAGGTATGGTAATCTAAGTGGAGGAAACTAAGCTTTTTCCTGGGGTGACTGTTACAAATTGGATTGTTATTACAAATATGTTGTAAATGTACCAGTATTACAAAGTTACTTGAGGCACTCTTATCTCTTGGACCCTTGCAGAAATACGGGGTTGCAGAAGGCAAGGCACTGAGTGAGCTGAGGGCCATGGCCAAAGCAGCTGGAGAAGAGTGCCCTGCATTCACACCACCCGGAGGAGAGACCTTAGACGAGGTGTGCAGCACTGCCAGGGTCAGATGACCCAAGTCATGCTCTTTTTATAAATGAGATGTTTCTGAATGTTAGCTAACCAGTTTAAAAAATTGCTTGGTTAATTAAATAGTTCTGCATATGCCATTTCTCTTTTCCTTTTTAAAGTATTCCTTCTCATTTATTGTTAAGTTGGTTGTTGTTACTGCTAGTGGATTTAAGGAAATGTGTTATTAGACAGTAATTCTAGAAAAATGTTGGAGTGTGAAGCAGTGGGGTTAGTAGTGGGAGTGGTGTTCAAATGGAACGGTAGGGAAGTCACCCAAGAGGCAAAATAATTCAAACCATGAAATCTTCAAGCCTCTGCTTCCTCTTCAGCTTTCCGAGTGACATCATACCATGCTGATGGTATGCTGACATCATACCATATTTCTGTGGAATGTTGTGCTTTGATTTGCGTTATTGGTGGGTTTTTTCCCCTTCATTCTTTCTTTTCAAAATTTTCTTGTAAAGAGTTTATATTGCTTTTTAAGAAGGGGGAAGATTTGTTGCTATTGTATTCCAGCTACACAGCAGAGCCAGGTGTGGTTCTGGGTCAGTGCTACGTTATGGGGTCCGGTTTACTTTGCAGATTTGCCTAACTAGACTGCAAGTGCTTTGAAGTCAAGACTTGGGAACTGTGGTGTACCTTACTCATCTTTTGTTCCCCATGTGGTTCTGTAGTTCTAGAAATATTGTGGGTACTTGCTGATGCCTGTTAACTGCTGAGTGCATGAATAGAAGTGCTGATGAGTATCTGCCCTTGTGCTATTTATGTTGGCATATTTGAAAAAAATTCAGGCAGTTACGTTTTAAGGAAATCATTGCCATCAGGTTATTTCACCTGGTATTTCTTTCCTTACAGGTGAAAATGCGGGGGAAAGACTTTTTTGGATTTCTTTGCCAGCTAATTCTGAAAGAAGCAGGTCAAAAAGAGCAGTTTTCCCAGGGAGCTTCAAGCAACTGTTTGGAAACTTCTTTGGCAGAAGTATTCACTCTAGGAAAAAAACGTGGCTCTGAATTTAATTCAGAGAGCGGTGCTCAAGGATTAGTAGCCAGTGTCTTAGTTGTGAGTCACGGTGCCTACATGAGAAGCCTGTTTGGTTACTTTCTGACTGACCTCATGTGTTCCTTACCAGCAACTGTGAGCAAATCCGAACTTGCATCTGTCAGTCCCAATACGGGGATTAGTCTCTTTATCATAAACTTTGAGGAAGGAAGAGAATTTAAACCAACAATTCAGTGTATTTGCATGAACCTACAGGACCATCTAAGTGCAGTGGCTGAAACTCACTAAGTTTAAACCTGCAACAAAATCTAAGAATTTTGAGCCTCTGAAGGGAGTCCCTTTGGCCTTATTTACTTATGTTCTATGCTAGCGCTGATTTGGAAACTGTTAAAAGCCAATTGTAAAGTTCAAGTGGAATCAAAGCCACGTAAAACTTTAATGGAAAACCATTTAGAATTATTTTGTCTGAGTACAGTTGGTGTTTTTCAGAGTAATTTCCCACCGTACTCAGTTATAGCTCTGGATTATACATGGATGACAGAACTCAGTATTGCAAGTGGGGGATTAATAAGTTTGTTACTATGCCTTTTCCCCCCTTTTTTATGTTGATCGTTTCCTTTATTTTCTGAAAAGTCTAGCTTATTTTATTGATGGTTGGTAAAATTCTGTTCTTTCCGTCTCATCCTGTAAGATATTATAATTTTATTATAATTACCACTACATATTTATGATGACTATGTGTTATGTTAACTAAAAGTGATTGCTGCCATAAGTTAATGTAAAGTAAAGTGGCACTGAAATGCTTTACATATAAATCAGCTGTTGGAATTTGCTGTTCTGGAGGCCTTGAAATATGGAAATGTGGATGAATGCAGATAATGTCTGGGGAAAGAAGTTAAAATATTACTTGATTAAAAAACATTAAAGAAGGAATCTTTGAGCAGAATAGAAAAGAGCAGTCTTTTATCTAAGCAATCCCTCCAAAGACAAGTCAGTGGAAACCAAGAAAGCCCAAAGGGGAAACAAAAGTTTGACTAAGAGAATGAAGAGAAATATCCACTTTTTATCTAACCTATGGGCTAAAGAATTTCCAATTTGAAGAAGGCTTTAAAGAGTAAACAGTTAATAGTACACTATGCAGTAACCGAGGAGAGCGGTGCTCGGGCCGCGTCTGTGCTTGTTTTGTGGGAGGTGCAGATGAAGCTGCCTCTTCCTTCCACTAGATGGCACTGGAAGAGAGGGATTTGGGTTAACTTAATTTTATAGGTAAGATCCTTCCTTCAAAAATTCTTACCTAGATAAAGCATTTTACATGTAGTTGCTTTAAGTTACCGTGTTGAAGTTGTGTGAGTGCAGCTCCTAAGAGGATTAATGCTAAGGTGGCCAGTGAAGGCTGAAGTCGCAGATAGTCACAATATAAATCGTATGTAAAGTTCAGTATCGTGCTGTGTTCAGCCTGTCCAACACTGCCACTTTTCTACCAGTATCGAAACACTGCATGCATTTGAGCACCAGGGACATATACTGTAAAAGACTTGAAAAATAACTGCAAAGGACAAACAATAAATATCCCACTGTATGTTCCCACCATACAGAGGGAATCTTTCTTATTTTTTTAAAAAAGAAACAATATTTAGATATAAGTAGAATTCCTTTTAACCAGTCCTCACAGTCCTGTTCTTCTGCAGAGGTGACCATGGCACTGAATCTGTGTGTGGGGAGTGTGTGTATACTCTTTACGTTTTCACCAGGTATCTGTAAAGAAATGGTATTGTTTGGTCTTGTAAAAATGCACATAAATATCAAGCCATGTGTATTCTTTATTTTTGCTTATTATGTCTGGGGCTCTGTTAATATGCATATATCTAGTTAATTATAAACACTGTATTCTGTTGAATAAACACTGCACATTTTATTTTTCTATCAGGATGCATGTAGGTATAGTCAGTATTTTCTTATAGACACGACACTACAGAGAACAGTCTTTTGCATCACTCCCTCTGCTATGTCAAAAGATGTACATCTCCAGGTTTCAAAGGAGCCAGCCCTGCTCCCAGTGTTCACAGTTGCTGTTTTCCACATCTTTGTCAACAAGTGATGCTGTCTTAACTAGTTTACTGCTCAATCTGATCAGTGAAAAATACTTCATTATTTTCATAGGCTTTTTTGTGATTGCTGATGAGTCTGAGCATTTTTTCTATAGTGTATATATAAACAATTCTGATATTTCTTCACTGGTGAATCACTATTACATAGTCATGGTCTTCTGTTTTTCCTTCAAGCTATTTGGTTTTTTCTTAGTGAGTTGCAAGAGTAATTTGACTATTCTGAATACTAGTTCTCCCACTTTTATATACATTGCAAATATCTTCCAATTTGTTACAGTATGGTGGAATCATTGTAGTTCACAGCAACCTCAAACTCCTGGGCTCAAGGATCCTCCTGCCTCGGCCTCCCACGTAGCTGGGACTATAGGCTCACACTGCTACACCTGGCTAATTTTTCTGTTTTAGTAGAGATGGGGTCTTGCTCTTGCTCAGGTTGGTCTCATACTCTTGACTTCCAGGGACCCTTTCCCCTCGGCTTCCCAGAGTGCCAGGATTATAGGTGTGAGCCACCATGCCTGGTGCTTATTTTACATTTTTGAGACAAACCAAATTATCTTGTTTTTGGTGTTTATCTTTAAGAAAACTTCTCTTAACCATGAGGTTATACAACAATCTCCCTTTTTCTTACAGTTTTAGAGGAATTTTGAATGTCAAATCTTGAAATTATCTGGAATTTATTTTTTATAGTGTAAGGTGAGAATTTTTTTCTATGTGGGTAAAACAATTAATGCAACATCGTTATTAAGACTTTTCTTTCCCAGTTGATTGTGATTCTACACGGTCATATCCTCACACATCCATATTTGCTAGAGCCTGTTTGTGGACTCTGTTCTGTTTTAGTTCACTTTGGATTCCCAGAGCAGTGTCGTACTTAGTCATTGTGGCTTTGCAGCTGAATATCTGTAAGGTGAGTCCTTCCTCTTGTTCATTTTAATGATTATCTTAGCTATTTGTGCACTTTATTCCATATACCTTCTGGAATCAATGGGCTAATTTCCAGACAAATGTTATTGGAGTCACATGCGTTTGTTCAGTTATCTAGTCATTCAACACATATTTCTTGAGCATGGTGCACACATGTCAGGCTACCATAAGAAGTATGAGAACTAGTATCCAAACTGAATATGTAGCATGAACGGAAATGGACTAAGCCTCCATCCTTGTGGAATTTATGTTCTATCAGGGAAGATAAGTATAACGTGTCAGATTGTGCTCAGTGCTGTTGGGCAAAGTAAGGCAGGGACACCAAACAGCCCGGCAGGCGGAATGCTCTTACATTTGGGGTGAGCAGGGCTGGACTGTCAGAATACTGCAGGGTGTGAGGTCTGCTGACTTCAGAAGAGAAAACACAGGTGAGAGGAGTAAGGAGTGTCCTGAGGAGGGACCAGGCTTGACCCCTTTGAGCAAGGGATGGGAAAGTGATAGGACAGAGAGCTGGAGGGAAGGAGAAGCACACGGGCGTATGTGGCCTGGTGGTCTGTGCCAAGGGTTTGGGCTTTGAACCGAGGGAGATGGGTCACCTTTGGCCAGTTTGGGGTAGAAGAGTGACCAATAGGACCCCCCCCCGGTCACACTGTGGTGGGGGGCAGGGTAGGAGCATAGGTTAGAGGCAGGGACAGTGGCAGCAGGCTGCCCAGCTGCTGCAAGAAATGAGGCCAGCAGGGATGGCAGGGACCAGGCCCGGTGCCTGTGATGACACACTAAGGAGCCTGGATGTGAAGTGTCAAGGTTAGCTTAGGAATGACATCTTCCCGTCTGTGAACACCAGACGTCTCTCCATTTTTTGAGTCTTTTACTTAATGAAGCTTTGCCATTTTCTTTGTAATGTTTTCTCTGCTTTTTGTTTGTTTTTAAAGACTTAATGAGAGAAAGGTACAGTGATTTTTCACATACTCTCTGCCCCACCACCCACACAGAGTGGTGCATTTGTTACAATACGTGAACCCATATTGGCACATCATCAGCACCCAAAGCCCGTAGTTTACACTGGGGTTCCTTCTTGGTGGTGTACATCCTGTGCGTTTGAATGAATGTATAATGACACGTACCCACCATACAGTGTTTTCACTGCGCTAAAAATCCTCGATGCTCCTCCTACTCATTCCCCTCCTTGTCTATTTCTGAGGCTTAGTTCTAGTTCCAGCAGGGATGATGGGTAGAAGTTTCCGGTTCTAGCCTTTGCAGTAGGCTCACAGCTGCAAGCACGGGCTTTCACTTATGCCCCCTAGCCACCTGGATCTCCACGCATGCCTCCCAGTCTCCTGTCTTCATGTCCTTTCCACTGCTCAGCTACTCATCTTCATTTTCTTCTTTTTTTTTTTTTAAATGAGTAATAGCTCATACTCGGCATCTTTATTGTTGGATACGGATTCCCCTTTACTGCTTTTTAATTTCAATTTCCTCATTATAAACCTATTTTGCCTAACATCTTTCTCTTGACTAATTTCTATCAGTGCTGCGTCATACTAAGCAGTGACATGCTCATGCGAGGGGAAGCGCATTAAGTCAGATAAAAGAGAGAGCAGCACATTCACATATTGCCTCATGCTCCTTCCGTGGTGCAGGCTCATGCAGGAGATGCATTAGGATAAACATGTTCATTTTATACTATGTATGTACACATATTCACATTTACACATAATTGAATTTGTATGAGTTAAATGCTTCTATCATGTATCTCTACTATATTAAGAAGAGTCATAACCTCATTGAAATAGATCATCCAGGCCTGGCCCAGGGGCTGACACCTGTAATCCTAGCATTCTGGGAGGCCAAGGTGGGTGGATCCCTTGAGGTCAGGAGTTTGAGGCAAGCCTGAGTAAGCACAAGACTCTATCTGTACTAAAAATAAAAAACAAAAACAACAACAAAAAAAAGCTAGCCATCATGGGGGTTGGGGTGTGCTTGTGGTCCCAGCGACTTGGAGGCTAAGGCAAGAGGATCGCTTAAGCTCAAGAGTTTGAGATGGCTATGAGCTATGATGATTTCATAGCACTCTACCCAGGGTGACAGAATTGAACTCTGTCTCAAAAAAAGAAAAACAGAAAAGAAATAGATTGTCCTAGGTCTATACACTTAGGCACAATTATCAGCTCCAGACACAGGAAATGAAAGGAAAGTATTCCATAGAGCC